AGAGAAAAAAAAAACGCTTTCAATTGACGCGATGATTCGTTGACTTGTCTTCACGGGAGGCATGCTTTTTGTTCTCATGAGCTTATTTGAAGAAACAAACGTTGATTGTACTTACATACAATACACCCAGGTGCTGGCTTCTTCGTATATACGTATTAAATATATTAAATATATATATATATCTTTCTCTATATATATATACATATACTTCTTTATCTTTTTTCGTCATATACATGTACGTACTACTTTGCACAGTATTGAACGAGAAGTAACGCTTGTGCACTTTGAACATCGGATACGTTCCACCATTTTTGCCGTGGGGATGCGATAAACAGGTCGAGAAAACTTGTACTTAGAAACTCGGACAAAGAGGGTATCTACTTATTTTACGTAGCGACGAATTTTTTTTTTTTTTTTTTTTTTCAAGCTTTCTTCTCTTTTACCTTCGACGATTTTCTTTTCTCTTTTTGTGTCCTGTTAAAAGGAAAATCGTCAAAGAGAAATCTCAATTTTCAACCGAGACAAAATATAAGATAGAAGAGTAGAGTGAAACCTCTCGATGATTCAATCTTATACACGAGTAATTATCTTATACACAGAATCTGTGTTTTTTTTTATTTTTTTTTTTTATTTTTTTAACGAAACGTATTTTTTGGCGAACGTTGGGCATTCGTATGGGAATGAACGATTCCATTATTCCCGTTGACACTAATCAGTAATACTGTCGATTGACTGATTTGAAACCAGTTGTGAGCTCCCTTCGGCACATCCCGAAGCCAGGGTACGGTCTGGCACCGCGAAGTCACACCTTCTCCTCGACCGGCGGTTCTGTATCTGCTCTCCCTGTAAGTCTTGCACCGCGTCACAATCGACGACCAAACCAAAAAAAAAAAAAAAAAAATCTTGCACCGTTATTGCTGATTTTTTTACAAAATAGAAAAAGTAAAATACATATCCATATATATATGCTGTAGAGATAAATGATACACGTTTTATTGATTATATCCATTGATTAATCACGGATGCCCGTGCCTCGGTTATTTCTAAGATTTACGCTTTTCTGTCGTCTAGGGTGATTATTCGTTCAGTGGGATGGGAGACAAGACGCACAGCACTGATTTCTCATCTGGCAAATCAGATAGTGAGTAAACCCAGAAAGGAAACCGATCGTACACTGACATACACACACGTACATATACCGTTATCTTGCAGTTCATCTTCTGTTTCTTTTTTCTTTTTTTCGAAAGTACATTCGAACCTTTCAAATTTTGCACATGCTTTTTTTTAAGTTCTAATTTTTAATTTTTATTGATTTCTCTCTCTCTTTTTTTTTTTACTTCTTTTTTACTTCTCATTAATTCACGAGTAGGAAGAGCTCGTGAGAACGATTATTTTGTTCGCAATTATTCTACTCGATTATACGGCTTAATATCTGAGCATGCTTTCACTAATGCATCCTTGCTCTATCATACACTGTCACTTCCTTTCTATCTCTCATTTTTTTTTT